AGAGATAAATATTAAAAACAATTGATCTCATGGATACAGAGAATAAAACGATGATTACCAGAGGCTGGGAAGGGTAGTGGGAGGGGGGATTAAGTGGGGATGGTTAATGGGTGAGAAAATATAATTAGAGAGTTAGATAGAATGAACAATATTTGATGGCACAACAAAGTGACTATAATCAACAATAAGTTAGGGTATACTTAAAAATAACTAAAAGAGTGGAATTGGAGTGCTCCTAACACAAAGAAATGATAAATGCCTGAGGTGATGGATACCCCAATTACCCTGACTTGATTAATTCACATTTTATGCCTGTATCAAAACATCACATGTACCCTACAAAGATATACAATTATTACATAGCCATAATAATTAAAAATAAAAAAGTAAGTACTGTAGGAATTTAGAGGCTGGGCTCACTTCCAGGGGGGCCACAAAAGCTCCACAAAGGAGACTGCCATTAGGTAGGCACTGCAGGAGGTGCAGAAATTCAACAGGTAGATATGGAGTCTGTCCTTGGACTGGGTCTAAATGCTTCCTCTTTTTTTTTGTTTGTTGAGACAGAGTCTCACTTTGTTGCCCAGGCTAGAGTGAGTGCCGTGGCGTCAGCCTAGCTCACAGCAACCTCAAACTCCTGGGCTCAAGCAATCCTACTGCCTCAGCCTCCCGAGTAGCTGGGACTACAGGCATGCGTCACCATGCCTGGCTAATTTTTTCTCTATATATTAGTTGGCCAATTAATTTCTTTCTATTTATAGTAGAGACGGGGTCTTGCTCTTGCTCAGGCTGGTTTCCAACTCCTGACCTTGAGCAATCTGCCCGCCTTGGCCTCCCACCACGCCCAGCCATGCTTCCTCTTTTCTGAGTGCCTGGTGTGTACAATACCCACAGGAGGCTCTCTAACAAATTTTTTTTCTTTTTTTTCTCTTTACTTATTTATTTATTTGTCTTTGACAGAGAGCTAATAAATTTTCTAGTTGGACACTAGCCACTTGAGCTAGGCTAGGGAATCATGGGCTTGAGTCTTGGTTCTGTTGCCACAACTGGACATCAATTATATAAGCCCTACCTCTTTTCTGGGCCTCTGATTTTTCCCCAACTATGAAATAGTGTTATAGAGGGTCCTGGGTATAACCTTGCTCATGGGTTTCTGGTCAGGATGACATTAAGTTAATACATATAAAATTATTTGCAAGCCAAAATGAAATATAATACAAGAGGCTATTTCTCACTATTCTTATTGTTGTTACAGAAACTAAAAGTAACCAATTCCATGTACTTCTCATTTATCCAATAATGTTTTTTATTGAGTGACTACTTGGGGCCAGGCACCAGGGATACAAAGATGATTAACACCCAGCCTCTTGGAATCTGAAAGGTCCAGGAAGGGAAACAGTAGATACAATTGGTGGCATAAATTTAATGTGCTACCACAAAGGCTGGGCTGGGTTTTGGCAGGAGCTCTGCTCTTTCTTAGTGGTAGTGCAGGTAGATAGTAATGCTGAAGACAAAAACTTCAAAAATCAGTAATCAACTGGCATGTTCCAGCATAAAACAGAATTAAAGGGGAGTGGAATTTTTTTTTTTAGAAGTTTGAGCTTATACTATGTTCTAGGCACTTTCACATCCATCATCTTCATAACAAGTGAGGTATTATATTATACCTATTTTATAGACGATGAAGCTGAGACTCAGGGAGGTTGGGTAACTTCCCAAGGTTTATAAAACTAGGAAGCATAAGGCCAAAATTTAAACCCAGGAGATCTAACTGCAAGCTTGGTCCTTTTCCTGGGACTCTTTATTGCTTTTATTGCCTTCTCATTAGTTAATGTTTTATAAAACTCATTCCATGCTAAAGATCTTCTTACTTGGATTATTTTTCCCAGAAGAAAGACTAATCTTCAATGAACAGGATTTGACAGTAACCCTTTCTATTGTCATTTCCTGTTGCACTTCCTATGATAACCCCTTCTCTTCTGCTACTTTCTCCTGACTTCTGTGTTTCCTCCAATACCAACGAAACTGCCAAGGAGTAAAAAATCCCAACAAATAAGAAACCTGCAGAAAGAACTCCCTGCTTCTTTAGCTACCAGTTTATAAATCCTGGGACAAAACACACTGAAAGAAGGAATAAATCTACATATAATTCTGTCCAAGAAGGAGTCCATGTAAACCAAAATCTGACTACACCTTAATTTTGTGGAGTCTTAAGGAATGTCAAACTTGCTTATTTTACAGATAAGGAAAACTGAGACCCAAGGTGAAAGTACTTGTCCAAGGTCATACACTGGTGAGAGGCAGAACCTGGACCGGAACCCAGATCTCCTGACTCCCAGGTTAATGCTTTTTCACTAAAATCAGTGGCCTCTTCAGCTTGTCCGATTAGCAACTCAACTTCCATAAGATCACAGCCTTGCCGAGAAGAAAGCTCAGTGCTGGTGTCTCTGCAAAGCCAGAAGCCAGGGCCCCCTCCTTGGCCTCCACTCTCTTCAGCTCATGTCCTCCTCTAAAAAACAGGAAGTGGCTTCATTTTTAGCTTTGAAAGCACATCATGGGGATGGAGAGGGGGATTTGGGGAAGAGAGTTCCTGTACATGATGGCCAAGAGGCATCAGCAGATGTTATACTCTTGCTTAAAGAAGGGGAAGATAGATAGTCAGACATTTCAGGGAAAAATGAAGGTTGACCTTGAGTCCCAACTAGAATATAATCTCATCAAGAGCTTCCCATGCCCAGGGCAGGGCTTCCCTTCCCTGCTGATTCTCTTCTCTGTTCTGACAAGGCTGGAGGCCAGTGGCATGGGGGTTGAGGTAGGAGCACCAGGGTGGGAAAATTTGCAGGAACTTTATACAACCTTCCATACTTCCCCCACCCTCTGCTAGTACCCACAACTTCCCCTGCCAAGGGAGGAAGGAAGAACACATTATTCAGTTTAATAATTTAGACATTGTAAAGTTTACTGTGTGAAAGAAAGAGGACTTAAGAGGACAACAGAGAAACAAAAATTCCCGAGTCCTCTCTGAAAGGATGGAGGTGTGGAGATGATATTTCTTGATGGCCTGGCCCTGGGATCTAACAGTCTGATTCTCTAATAGATGGGTATGAAACAAGCAAGTAATGCTTCCCTCCAACAGTCAGCCAGGTTTTGTCTCTTCTACTGGTAGGATCACATCCAACCTTAGCACTGACAGCCTGGGTCATCAAAGAACACAGAGCCAGATCCACAGAATGCTAGGCCTGGAAGAGACTGTGGGCATTTGTCTACATTAGGGGCTCTCAAACCTGACAGCCCATCAGAGTCATCCAGGGAGCTCATTACAAATTTAGATTCCCAGGAACCAATCCAGACTTTGATTAGGTAGATCTGGGCTGGTGTCCAGGAATCTTCATTTTCAACAAGCAGACCTGGTTTAAGAACCAATGGTCTGGTTCAACACCATCTATCTAGCTATCAAAACTTTTGCATGAGAGGCAAAGAAAACCGAAGCTCCAAAAAAATAGGTTAGTTGCAGCACTTGGACTGGAACCTGGATCCTTGCCTGCTGGTGCCAACGCTCTTGCACATGGCCCTCCTGTCCCTGCTCACCAATGTGTTGGGGACCTGTGAGGGTCATCCGGTCCACAGGGGAGTCAGCTGGCTGGAGCTTTGAGTGAGTCCCTACATGGATCACTGGTGGAAGTGGCTGGTAAGGGGTTGGGTGAAGGTAGCTTTAAGGATACTCCTAGAGAGCTGTGTTCTGTATTCTGGGGGGTTAAAAGCAGAAGGCCAAGCTGATGGCCTCTAAGGGGTAGTATGCAGTTGTTCCAGACAGAAAGAATAGTCGGTTCACAGAAGCAGCCTGCTGCACCAGAGGAGGCAGCACAGTGGAGGCAGAGTGAGTGGAGGGGAAAGGAGCAGAAAATGAGGTCTGGGAGGTCATGGGAAGCTCTCCAGGCTGCATGAAGATCTTTGTCTTTTACCCTGAGCTGCTGTAGGATTTGGAGCAGTAGGCTTGTCATAATCTGGCATATTTTCACAGGGGTACTCTGATGTGGTGGTGAGAACAGACTTTACAGGGCAGGGGTAGAAGCAGGGGATCCAGCGAGAGGGATGTGCAGGAAGGGGGGGGACAGAGGAGGGCAGCTGCAGGTGGTGAGAAGTGCTTGGATGCTGGATACCCTTTAACAGTAGAGCTAACAGATTTTCTGATGGACTGGATATGAACTTGAGATAAAAAGAGGAGTCTAGTGTGGTGCCAAGTATTCTGGCTCAAGTGACGGGAAGGCTGGCATTGTCAACGGAGATGGAGAAGGCTGTGGTGGAGAGGTTTAGGGAGGGACAGTGGGAGCTCAGTGCTGGGCACTGAGTTTGAGGCGTCTGCTAAACATACGAAGGAAGTGCGGTACAGGCCGCTGGACACACAGGTCTGAAGCTCAGGGGAAAGCTGGAGACAGGCCTTGAGGTACTATGAGCACACATGTGGTATTTAAATGACGGCCTACAACTGGGTGAGGTTATCAAAGAAATGAGGACAGACAAGAGAAGAGAGGAAGGCCAAGGACCCTGCTGGGGGACCCTCCAGCATCAAGAGTTCAGAGAGAAAAGAGACTGAGAAGGAATGACCAGTGAGGCAGGAGGAAAGCCAGGAGTGAGTCCCAGAAGCTAAATGGACCAAGTGTTTCCAGGAAGAGGGAGTGGCCAGTTGGGTCAAAATGATACTGATAGCTAGATGGGGGTAGAGAATTGGTTATTGGAGAACCTGGTAACCTTGACAGGAGCAGCATTTGACTCCTAACCTCATGGAACTCCACAGTTTGACTACTGACTGTCATTTAGGACCCCATAATTGTGAATTTTGTCTTCTCAATTAGGCTGCCGACTTTGCAACATCAAGGACGATAAATCAGCATCTCCCCAGGTTCCTTGGTGGCTGGAGGTCCCTGTGGAGCCCACTGTAGACCCACCTGAAGGCCCCTACCACTGGGCACTGCCTAGAGCAACTATTCTCGTGCTTGACTTACCTTGGACACAGAATTTTAGTTCCTTGGGGTCAGTGATGCCCTTTCTGCTTTCCCGGATTACAGCCCGGTTCTTCTTGGTTTCTCCCCAGAGATTGGTGCCTCCATACATGCTGGGAATGTTGAGAATGGCAATGCCTTCCAGGAAGATGTTGCTCAGGTCCACCCCAACCCCATCACACTGGGGGACAGAGAGAAAAGGCCATCTGTTAGTGTCCTCGGTGTATCATAACCCAAGGTGCTGTGTGTGTGCGTGTGTGTGGGGGGGTTGTCGGGGTGGTGGGGGCTCTCTTAAAGGACATGACAGATCCTCAACCACCCACCTATCACACCATCATAAACTGAATCTTGGGCCAGGCTGCTCAGGCTTAATGCTCTGACCACTGTGGTGAGATGGGGAGGTCCAGTCCTGGTCGGCTCTGGGGAAGACAGCACAAGGCTCCAGGGAGCATCTTTAGGTCTAGAAGTGCTTTAGGGATGGTTCCTAAATCAACTGCAAGACGGTTCTCCAGCCCAACCTCATCATCATCAGTTCTGCCCCTTCCTAACCATTGTGAAGATTTAATGGGGCATTGAATCCAGAACCTAACACGTAGTAGAGTCTCAACAAATGACAGACAATTTTCATTTTACCCCCCTCTTATTTTATCCCTCCTGTGAGAAGTAAAAGACTTTAAGATTTGGAAGGCTTTCAGAATTTGCCTGTCTCTTGTATCTGTACCGTAAGTGCAATTTTGGCATATGTGCTTGCTGAGGTGGCAGAGTTTCTTTATCCAATCTCCACCAGGTACAAAAGGCCAGAAGGCTTGGATTTTTATGACTCGAAAAGTCAGCTCACTTTGGCATAATGCTTACCAACACAGCAAGAAATACATGAGTTCTGATCCTCATTCCTTAGGATTATAGGTAGTTTACTTCATTTACAGAAGAAGAAAACCAGACCCAAAGAGGTGAGCTCAGTTATCCAAGATTACACAGCAGACAAATAACAGAGCAGGGATTTGAATTGGGGGGATTTGACTTACAAAGTCCATGCTCTTTATCTTGCTTATTATTATGAGAAAGAAAAAAATCAAAGACATACAACATAAAAACCCACTGTCAGCTGGGTGCAGTGGCTCACACTTGTAATCCTAACACTTTGGGAGGCTGAGGCAGGAGGATTATTTGAGGTCAGGAGTCTGAGACCAGCCTGAGGGAGAGCAAGACCCCATCTCTATAAAAATATCGAAAAATTAGTCAGCTGTGGAGGCACATGCCTATAGTTCCAGCTACTTGGGAGGTTGAGGCAGGAGGATTACTGAGTCCAGGAGTTTGAGGTTACAGTGAGCTATGATACCCCACTGCACTCTAGCCAGGCAATAGAGCAAGACCCCATCTAAAAAACAATCCAGTATCCTTGAGGTTACCTACGAACCTAAACTTCCAGAGGTTTCTCAGCAGAGGAGGAATAGAAAGGTAGGGCTTGTGGCCATTCATATTGACTCAGCTCCTGATTTCCTTGAAGTTCTTAACTTATGCTATCTTATCCCTGTGACTTGTTTTCCCAATTGCAAGATGGAATAGAGTGAGCTTCTCTGGTAACTGGGAACTCGCCTTTTCGTTGGGACATTCTGCTAATTGGAAAGGTCTCTTTCTGTTGATCCAGATTCTCTCTTCTTAATTCCACCCATTGGTCCTGTTCTCTCTTCTGAAGCCAGACAGAATGACCGTCCTTTCTCCTCATGGAGTTAGGCCACAAGAGCCACCATAATAATCATCCTCATTACTACTATGCATTTGTATTAAGTATTGCCACCTGCCACCTAAGATTTTATACTCATTTATTATCTTCATAATAATCCTATAAGTTAGTTACATTTGGGGAAGCTGAGGCACAGACAAGGTTATGCAACGTGCCCAAAGGTACACATCTTATGAGTGAAGTACACAGATTTGACGGCAGGCAATCAGAGCCTAAATATATATATATTTTCTCTTTCTGTTTCTAGGGATCCGAAGAGAGCTTAAGTCTTTACCTCTCTTCCCTCTCACACCGCTGGTTGTGCTTCCTCTGGATTGAGCACTGTCAACTCCCTTAATCTTCTCCTGTGGGACTTAGTTTTCAGATTTCTTCCTGCTCTGGCTGCCCTGTTTTGCACACACTCCAGTTGGTTACCCTCCTATTGGTAAGGTCCCTAGCACTGAAAACAATACCAATAACAGGATCTGACGGGGCACGTGGCAACACCACCAGCACTTCCTGAGGCTGGAATTTGATAACACTATCATGTCCCAGAAATGAGATCATGTGCAAGGCCCATGTAAGAGCTCAGTACATGTTACCCATCATCATTATCCTTATTGTCAAATATGACCAAAGTTACACTAGCCCTGTTGTTAGCGGCCAGGCAACAGCATCACTTCAGCTAGAATAGGCGGTGGTCTCCGTTACTCAACCTTCACCCCATGATCTACTGCTCAGCCAGCTCTTCCCTATCCTGAACTTGTGTAGGGTTTTAAAAAACAAACAAAACTTAGACACAGGCTTTACATTTATGTTAATTAATTTCATTTGGCTTTCAGCCCAGGCCTCCTCCAGTCCACCCAGCTTATTTCAAATCTTTATTCTGTGACCCTTTGTCATAGCCCTCCCACTGGTTGGGGATTAAGTCATTAATATGTGTGAATAAAGGGCAGCAACTGTGACCGAGTCCTTCCCTCGGTCAGTTTAATATCCCAAACATGGTGCATTAACACCCGTTGGGGTGTGGCTGCTTTATCGGGCCTGCATCTTCTGGGCTATGCTCTCACCCAGCCCTCTTTTCATTACAAGGCAGACTCACAGAAGTTAGAGATGAGAAGAACCTGAGAGAATATGCCCCATCTTTCATAAATGAGGTCCTGTGAGATTAAGAAACTTCCCTGTGGTCATCCAACTAACGTATTAATGGTGGAGCTGGATACGTATCCAGATCTCCAGACCTCAATTCTATGTTCTTTCCACTAAAACATAAGACCCTGTACTGAGATCAAATAGCATTTCCTAAATGACCACCCTACCTATAATCTCTATCAGAAAAGGAATATGAGAACTCATATTAAGTCACCAGTATGTGTATGTAGGTGGCAAATACTTGGTTAATAATCTGTTCTAGAATTTTGCCAGGGGTCAGAGCACATAGTTTGTGTTCTTCAGAACATGCCCTACTCTCATTTTTTGGAAACTGGGGTAACATTTGCTTGTTTGCTGCTCATTGGATAGAACCTACTCTGTTTTCTAGATTTGTCCAAGTGGCCCCTGAATGACATTTACAGGCTTGTCCAGCAACTTGGAGTCAAATTCATTTGTGTTTTCCAAGGCCAGTTAGTTCTCCATTGATCTACCCCGGGCTGTGGTAGCCACATTTTTAGTTTAGGGCCACTTTCTCTGAAAAAGGTAAAAACTCATCCAGAATGGCAAAATCCTATTGAACTATGCTTTCAATTTTTTTTTCCAGCCTCAAACATTGTCTAACATCCTACTTGGCCTTCGGATTGCCTGAAGCCAGGCTTTCAGGTCTGAGTTGCTTTTGTGTATTCATACCTGGTTGCATGCCCATCCCTGCCTTTGCCTGTGAGCATAGTCTCCTTAACGCACGGGCTCAACCAGCTCTCCCTGCTGCTGTCACAGTGATTTAAACTCAAAAACCAAACTCCTCTTTTCTTTTCTATGTAATTAATGTGTTAGAAATTCATTTTGGAATGTCTTCCACCCTTCTATCCTTCATACACATATTCCTAATTGGGGATTTAGGCTAGAGTCCCACTGGGGCGCACTTTCCCTTATCCTTATAACACTTTTTAGATGAACAGTCACTTCCCCTCTTGCTTGTAGTTACGTCCACATCACCTCAATTTACTCAATGATGGTCAAAATATCTCTCGAAACATCCCCCTCTCTTCTGAGAGGTAATAATAATATTATTAGCAACTCTTGCTTGGTGAGAGCTTCCTTGGGCACTGCGCTGGGATTCACGCACATTATATTGGGACCCTCACATGAACACGATGAGTGAGGCACCACTGCTGCCCCCAGTGGACAGGGTCTCACAGGGAGTAAGGTACTTACTCAAGGCTGTATAACTTGCCACCATACAAGATGGCAGAGCTAGGCTGCAAACGCAGGCAGTCAGAAGCCAGAGCCTACGCTGGAGATGAGTCAGTGAGGCATATCAGGAATTTTGCTGATGCTAGACTTATAGCAAAATTAAACTTACAGCTGTTTGAATAATTGAAATCTCCCACTATTGCTCGATCTTATATAGTGCTTAGAGCAGTGCCTGGCACATCAATGTTGGATATTAGTATTATTATATCTTGTCTCTGTGCCAGGTTTGTAAAAAAAAAAAAAAAGTATACCACCAGCACAATCCTTGGCAAATAGCATTCCACAAAGTCACCTTTATTTCCTACTGCAGTTTTAAGTTTTAAGTCTCCTCCATCTCTATCCATAGCCAGCTATGAGTGTTAACTATCACCTTGGTAAAATGTTAACCTTGACCTGGAAAAGCAGACAGTCCTTGCTCTGCTTTCTGACAGTTTGTTCCCTTCTCCTATTATCTCTTTGGGTCTTATGTAGGCTGTAGAGGGGTCAAAAAGAATAGAAGAGGTGGGAGGGCCCTGGGGTCTATGTGACTTTGGTGTCCCCCACGCCCCCCTTGGAATGCACCTACTTGGAAAATGAGAGGTAATGTCTTGGAAAGAGCATGCCTAAGCTTGGAGACAGAGAAACATGGGTTGAAAGGTTGGCGATGTCACTGCCAGCTGTGTGATCCTGGGTTGGTTCCTTAACCTCTCTGGGCTTTAATTTGTTATCTGTGAAATTAGGAATGGGGAATAACATCTACTTCAAGGGGTCAATTGGTCTCTGAAGGGCAGTAGCACTCTATGACTGTCTGCATTTTCATTAGTTTCCCCAACCCCTGTGCCAGGAGGAATATTTCTTCCTGAAATCACTCCCCCACTACAGGAGACTCTGCTGGAAGCGTTTTAATGGCCTTTTGGCTCCACCCACGCTGGTGAGAGCCTTGCCAGCCCACACCTGCCTGCCTTTTCTCCCGAGGTCTCGGCCTAGCGATCATTCACTGATTTCCTTCGAAACCCCAGGCTCGCTTGGGTCTGGGGAAAGCTGGAAGGCTGCTGCGCTGAGTCTGGGAACGT